TTTTTAAACCATTAATAGTTTTCGAAAGGGGTTAGCATTGATAGGAATGGAAACCGAGACCGGTAGCTGAGTCATGGGTGGTGCTACCACCAGTGATTACATGATTTATCTCTAAGCATGAGTTGTACTCCTTTTTCTTCCCTTTTCTCTTTCAGGTCCTCATATTTGACTGTGTGCTAGCTTACAAGGCACTTTCAGGATTCCATCAAGCTCGTGGTCTTACAGTGTTGATTTCAACATCAGACCTAGTGGTTGATGGCTTGCCTCTAGATTTGCATCGTTCATTTTCATTTGTTAATGTGCACAGGCTTAGTAGAGCATTTCTATCTGTCTCTCTCTGTAATGTGGCACATTGATCTCTCTCTCATTCTCTTTCTCTTGCTAGACCTAGTGTCTTAGATAGACTCTCCACATTTTATTTATAAAGATGAGTCTTCCTTTTCTGTGAGATTCAGGATAGACTTCTCATTCCATCTAGAATTGGACAGAGGATAGAAGAACCAGAGCCTAGTGGCCTAATCCGAGAGAAAAAGCTGGAAATTGTTCACTGGCTGAAATCTAATAGAATTTTCATCCATGGCAATTTACCTTCATCTCTCTGATCAAGTTGGGCCCTTATCCCGATAAGGTATGCCCACCATACGCCTACAATTCTTAATATGAACTTCACATGAAGTGAATAGAATAAGAGCAAGTAGGTCCTCAAAGAGACTTCCCTCGGAAACCCTAGTTTGGGGGGGATTGAGATGAATGAGAAATTCTAGGGGTGGATTTTAGACATGTCTATTTCATGCCTTTGATGAGATGAAGGATTTTTGGATGAAAGTAGTGTTATACCTTGGCACCTTGTTTCTGTCTTGCTGTTGCATGTCGACACTCTCTGAGACGGGTTAGGCATGTTGTCCTCATTTTCTGCCCTATTGATGCACATGCACGTTGACTGGACACGTATTGTCAAAAGTGATGGCAGGTGACATGCCCATTGATGTGTGGTTTAATTAATGAAAAGGCATGCTGTCCACATGGGACTTGAATAGAGTTCCTCTTGTAATGTGACTTGGCCGTCTATTGCCATGCTTCCCAATTATGTTGTGGCATACATTGTTAACAATTTTGTTAATAACATCGAGAAAAAAATATTTTCCAAAAATTAATGCAGAGAAAAAGAAAGTTAAAATTTCTTTTCTATGAAACATATTAAATTTAGGTCTTTTATTTATTGGAATTTTTGTTGGTCCAAGAAGGGTGAGGACTTTAAATTTTTCTTTAACCTGTCCCAGGCCTGGGTAAACGACGTGGATTGTGTTAACTAGGCAGCCAACATAAAACTTTCCATAGGATCTACAAATCCTGGTGTATTGGAATTTTTGCATTTTCTTATTATTATCTTTGATATTTGTATATGAATAATATATGCATGATTTTTGTATCAATCATTGTATTGAAGTGTCAGTCTATATACCAGATTTGTAGGCCGAAGTATTAGACACTCAAGACATGCACTAAATATCAACGCCTGTACAGTGTCCATTTACCACTAGATGAAACGTTCTCTCAGCCATTGGACCTATAGGGTGTCTTTGTTTGGCTCTCTTTAGATCCTCTACTTAGGCTATATATTCTGGGGACCTTTTGTGCCTCAGGCTCATTTTCAATGTTGTTTTCTCAGCCATTGGACCTACAGGGTGTCTTCTGATTGCTTTCTTGGTCAGCCTTCATTGGAACTAGAGTTTAGGACCCACTTGCTCTTATTCTATTCACTTCTTCAGCCTCAGGCTCAATTAACTTTAGGGTCATTTGTCAAGTTTCTCTTTGAGTCTGGGCCCCTCTCCTATGTATAGTATTGACCAGGTTCTCATGGAGGGAATTGACCCTATTCTGTGTTTCTCTCTAAAATATTCTACTGTTGTTTCGTTTTGAGGTAGGGAGTGATTGAAAGTTTGGATCCAAGTCAAGCCAAATCACCTCGGCCAAGTTTTTGGGGAATGAGGATTATGAGGTAATGGTGGGGCAGAATGAGGATTATGAGGTAGTTGTGGGACAGCCTTTCTATATGTAGTAGGCCTTCTCTTTACCTTAATCTTGGGGATTAAGTATTATCAGGCTACCTACTAATGCTGGTCAAGAGTTACCCCTCAAAATCTTACTTCTCTAAGTTTCCCTCTCAAAGAGTCAAACACTGGGAATTTACCTAAGAAGACAGTCTCTCTCTAAAATCTGTTCGGCATCTACTTTGAATTTACCTAAGAAGACACTCTCTCTAAAATCCGTTATGCATCTACTTTCTGCCCCTGGTTCTCTTTCAGATTAATTACCTAAGAAGATTCCCTCTCTAAAACCTGTACTGCATCTACTTTCTGCCTTTGGTTCTCTTTCAGTCACACTCTCTCTCCTCCCCCCACCCACCCCCCAAAAAAATAAAAAAATTCCATTTTGCATCTCTTTCAAAAAAACAATTCCTCCCTCAGCAAGGGGGAATTTCTCAAACTGCTCGTCTCTCTTTATGGAGGCAAGAGAAAACCTATGTTGTTTTGCAGATAGGGTGCCATTTTACTTGCAGTGTTATCGATATTTGATTGGCCGTTAAACAAGTGAGAGGTTTAGTCCAATCAAAACTAGTCCGAATAGCGGTCGATCCATTTACACAAGAATATAAAAATGACGTGAATAAATCTCATTTTTTTTGTCAGCCTAACCAATCAAACATGGTTGATCTAACTGGTCAAGCATTGATTTTGACTTAAATGACCAAATCAAGTTTTTTGCATTGAATTAGAATTATAGCATCAAGGTCAGTGGTCGAACAAGAAGTCTTGTTCGGACCGGTTGGGTCTTAATAACATGCTTTTTATAATGATTTCACCTCTCAACTTGGAGATGGATTTTGGATTCAAAATATTGCGGTCTATCCTCTAAAGAACCATGATCATGATTTTGAAAAAAGAAACGAGGATGAATTTGAGCTTTA